ATTTTTATACTCCTGCAACATGTTGCTACATAGTATAGTAGTTTGGTTTACCTAAGGGTTGTTTGTATTACCTCAAATTAATCGAGTTAGATGTAGGATTATATATTATAAATGATCAGGATGACGAGACGAGTTGAAATTCGGATGTCTGTCCGTCCGTGCAAGCAATGTCTTGGTGAAACTTGGTGCACATGCTTCTTGGCAACGTTAGACGGTTGATATTGTAGATGGGTAAATTGCCATAACTAAGCTCCATAATAAGACTGCTATTTGGTACAACGAATCGCATTAGGGAAGGGCATCTTCAGTTGAAATGTTGTTTTAAGTAGGCGTGGCCCCGCCCTATAATAGGTTTAATGTGCATATCTCCGAAACGACTAAAGCTTTAATAACCAAATTCACTCAAGACAAATCTTGTTAGCACTTCTACCGACAGTGTGAAATCGGGTAATAACTCCGCCCACCCTCCATGCGGCTCTGATTAAAACTACTAAAAGTGCGATAGCTCATTAAATCAGTCTGAGAGTTTGAATTTTACACCTAGGATGATACATATAAGCTTTATAGGTGCCAATACAAAAATTTCATCTTAAGGTGATCGGGTTCTACTAAACTGATTTCAATCAAATTCGGTATGTAACATTCTTCTGACATTGCTATGTTACAGTGTAAAAATGAGTCGGGTCAATACTTCCCTTAGCCTCCATATACCTAACATAGAGTTTTTCGAACTTCTGGGGGACTTTATACCGCATATATCGGCCAATATGTGAGTTATGCAATAAAAATGAGAGAGCGTGATTTACTCATAACAGTGTATCTTTGTTCCTAAAATTGATAAAATCGGGTGAAAACTTGACCTAGCCTCGATATAACTAATATCAGGATTATCGAACATCCGGTTGACTTTACTGTATATGATTGGTGATGGTATGTGAGGTACATGAATGAAGTCCTGAAAGCATTTCATTACTCTGAGGCATGTTAATAGTATGTGGTATTGACAGAAATACATAAAATCGGGTCAATACTTCCACAAACTCCCATATATTGCATATAATGATTTTCGTATTTCTAACAAGTTTTATGCTGAATCTGTCGTTCAAGCCCCAATATACTCCATATAATGACTTCTGTCTTTGCACCTGACTTTAAGGTCAGGTTGGTCAAAATGTGATATTTTAATGAAATTAAATGGACAAGTTTTCATAAAAATGATTTGGCATTGAATTATAATATATACCTTGGTCTAATCCTCATATCCCAAATGCAATGAATTCCGATCCTCTGGTTGATAGTAATTTTAGCCTTTTTAGTCGAGTTAAAATCATATACATATATCTCATTTGAAGGTGTTTTTAATATAATTTTGGCTGACACGAACTAAAATATAGCAATAAAACTGAGTCTAAGTTTATGGCCTTTAATATTAATCAAGAAGATACCAAATTTGATTGTAATTTATTAACGATTTCATCGAATAATGGATGTTTTATTCTTACGCAAAATTGTTTAATATAAAGTTTGCCAGCACCTGAGGGAATTTATCGGGCTTTGATTCGGGCAAGTTGCAAGAGTATAAAATTATCGGTTAACCCGAACTTAACCCTTCTTTACTTGTTTATATATGCTATTGTTCTCAGTAAGAGAATGTTTTGAATAATTGTCCGAACTGATGTGCAAGTTCTACCAATGGTGTATGTTATTTGGGTGTTATTTATATTGGCATGATTATTACCGTTAGCATCTTAGCTTACTGAGGATAATAGTTATTTAGCAATGATTCCTAAGATTTTAAGCAGTAAACATTTATTTTGCAAAGGAGCGTAGACCTATGACTACTAGTGTACCTATATGTGTTGTAAACAAAGTGGATTTGAAAAAAAATTGTTAAACAGTAATAAACTGATTTATTTATAAAATATTAGACTTAGCGTCTCTGTTTATATAAATCTGAATTTTTCTCTAAAGTTGTATATATGTATGTAAATGATTAAAAATTAATTATTTGTCATTTTAACAAAAAAAAAAGTTTGATCGATAGATGCTCAAAATATTCTAAAATGAATAATACAACTTTTACAAAAATGTTTACAGTTCTCAATAAGCAACGCTCAAAACTCTAAAAATACAAAATAGAAAGCAAATACATGGGTACACCGGCTACTGATCATGTCTATTTTTTTTGTATTTGGCTCTGCCTGTCATGAATTTTGTTTTACATTTTTCATTTTTTGGCAAGTAAGATCGGCACAAGTCTGTGCAAATAAAAACGAAGAGTGTATAAAAGAAATACAACTTTGGGATATCGGTAGACTCCTTTAAATGACAATTTGTTTCTGATCGCTTATTGACCTCTTTGCTGTCATTTCCACAACTAAATGGAGTGGAGTAAGATCTAGAATCACCTATAGTGCAGCGATTGGGCACGTGCACATGGCAGTAGTGATACATACGCATGCCAGCCTCTGCTCTTACGTCAAGGAGTATTACATAGACATTTAATAAAAATTGACCAGAAACGGGATTTAGTTTCAACTTGATGAATTCTTTAATTTGAGCAAATTTAAAAATCAACTGTTTGTAACAAACAAAATCGATTTACGCAATGTTATCAAGAGGAAGAGAATACTTCTACCGTGAACAACTTAATTATCTTAATGACACGTGGTCTACGTCTAAGTCATTGTATCAATTCAAATGCTGATACACTGAATATTTATTAGCGTCGTTTAACTTCTTCGTTTGAAAAAATCGTTTTTTTTTTTTTACTATTCACGTCGCTGAACTCGTTTTTTCAGAAATAGTGGTGTTTTAAAGTTTTGGCATGATTCTGACAAAACTATAAAATTTATTTGAAATATTGTTTCAGATTTACAAAACATCCCGCTATGTTTAGACATGAGCTTTTTTGGCGATAATTTTTTCTTGATTAATTACAGTCTTTTAGCTTTTTGTACTTCTTTTAAATTGCTGCCCTTTTCAGATTTTAAAATATTTAAAAAGCTTACGCCCACTTTCAGAAGGGAGGTGTCGGTACTGATATTTAAAGATTTGGTTTCAAATTCAATAATATTACATCTATTAGGTTTAGGTTTTATTGATTTTTCAAAAGATGATAAATTTGTGTACATTTGTCCGATTTAAGTCAAATATGCGCCGTTTTGTTCGTAAACTTGTTGCTAACGAGATGGCAACTTCATTATACCCCTTTCGTAGAAGGCTGCGTCCCTATTGGCAAAAAACTCGGAGAGCCAATTTTCACAGGCCTCTCTTGAGGCCAACTTCTCACCATTAAGCACGTTCGCCATGGACAGGAAAAGATGATAATCACTTGGTGCCAGGTCCGGACTATAAGGTGGGTGCATTAGGACCTCCCATCCGAGCTCCCTGGCGTTGTCCTGATGGAACACAATTCGGCCTCTGTTGACCAAAGATGGTCTTTTCTGGATGAGTGCTGCCTTCAAGCGGTCCACTTGGTAGTAGAGGGCCGAATTGAGCGTTTGGCCATAGGGGAGCAGCTCGTAGTAGATGATTCCTTGCCAATCCCACTAAACACACAGCAAAACCTTCCTGGCCGTCAATCTGGTCTTGGCCACCGTCTTGGCCGCTTCCCCGAGCTTTGACCACGACCGTTTGCGCTCGATGTTGTCGTAAGTGACCCATTTTTCATCGCCAGTCACAATCCGCTTCAGAAACGGGTCGATTTTGTTGTGATTCAGCAGCGATTCGCAGATGGAAATGCTGTCCATCATGATTTTTTACGTTAGTTCGTGTGGCACCCAAACAATCGAGCTTCTTTTTGAATCCAAGGTTATGCAAATGGTTCCAAACGGTTTTCTGGCTTATCTTCAGTTCCTCAGCAATTAAATAAGTGCTCACACGACGGTCTGTTTCCACTATTTCCATGATTTTATCGCAATATTCGACAACAGGCCTCTCGACACGTGGTGCATCTTTAACATCGAAACTACCGGAACGGAACCTAGCAAATCACTTTTGTGCTACATGTTCGTTTACAGTATCGGGCCCATAAACTAAATTAATTTTTTCAGCTGCTTTGGCTGCTTTTTCGCCTTGATCGAAGAAAATTTGTAATATATAGCGAATTTTCTCTTTGCTCGTGTCCATCTTTGACGAGCGCTCACAACGTACTGAGTCAATCAATCGAAAAACTGTCAAAGACATTTAGGGCGAATAAACGCGTTTTCAGCGCCGTATAGTATGACATGATGCGACACGTAACACTAATGCTATGGACAATAACGTCATCTCTTAGATATAAATCGAACGAATATTTTACTTGACCTAATATATCTCACGTATTGACCGATATTTTCTGTAAAAGAGCACTGAGATCTATATATAATATTAGGTATCTAATGGCTTGAGAAGTTATTGTCCGATTTTGAAAACTTTTAGACACGAGATGGCATATCTTTAAGGTACTATTCGTACAAAGCTTTTTCCGATATATTCGTTGGTGCTTTTTTTATGTACTGTAAAGTTATGTAGTCTAGTGATGGAGTTTAAAATTATGATATATGGGAGGTAAGCGTGGTCGTGACATAAGAATGTCAGTATAATACTATGTACCAAATTTAGTTGGATTTGGCTGAGCAGTTCTTGAAGTAGAGAACTTCTGCCAAACGTGGGCAGTGCCATGCCCATTTTGCAAATTTTACACTGATTCCTATAAAAAGCTTCCGTACCATATTTACTTTGACGCGATATATTTGATGCTTTTCGGTAATGAATTAACGCACGTTTAGTAGTTTTCAACGCAACCGTTATATTAGGGGATGATTCTTGTCTTCAGTAAGATTGGTTGATATAGCTTTTGTGGTTTGTGAGATATGTACATTAAACGTATTAGAGGATGGGTTACGTCCACTTTTACATATGCTTTTAGTATTTTGATGCTTTGTCCTAACTCACAGTTGTATGTCACATACTATCCTTCAAAATTAAATAAAATATCGTGTTGTTTTATGTTTCAGAAACCGAATCGAGTGATATATTACCATCAATGCAACATGTTCATTGTCAGCCACATACAACATCGCACATAGAAGAAGTTGTGTCTGCAAAATCTGACTGCGTTCGACAGCAACTGCCCTTTTTACAAACCCATCAACAACAATCACACCATCTCGTGTCACAAACAAAAGAACATCTAGAGCAAGAAATATCAGCAGATGTAAATATTATTACGGACGTAATTAATAGCAACGTGTGCAAAGAAAGGGGTTCTAGAGACGGAAATCATACACAACAGAAACAAAATTCCAGCCCAACGTTGACTACTACAGATGACTCATCAATTAGTGTTCCGAGTTCAGTAGCATCGGGAGCTAATAAAGATTCAGTGTCTTCAGAATTGCAGCAGCAACTTCAAAATTTTGAATATAATAGGGATGTGGATCTAGAAGAACCTGTAACAACTTTAAGCCTCTCGAATGCCATCGGTAGCAGCGTACCTGAAATTTTGACGCATATAGATGTTACACACCTGCAGGAGACCAATCTACCAGCACGAAGTATGCAACTTACACGGGAAACACCGGATGGAATAAAAGGGAATAAAAATATTTCTAATATTAATAGTGGCACGGAGCAATCTTCCGAAAGTAATCATGTTGAATTTGAGACCAAAAATGTGCCATCATCTTGTGAAGCACAGAATACTAGTGATTGGGAAGATAACTCTAAAGTGGATTACAACATCAATAATGTAAACAAAAGTCAGACATTACCGTTCAATAAAAATGAAGAAGACGAGGACACAGCTCAAACTCAAATCGTTCAGTCTCAGTGTTCAAAATCCGGACATTCTGAGAGGGCGAATGAATGGGACGAAACTGATCATCAACGGCTTATGGAAAATTCCGAATCTAGTGGAGTTGCGGAGTTGACAACAAATGCTAAAAAATTGACATCCGAAACAGCGGAAGTAGAAGATGCTGCCAATGACATTAAAAATAGTAATACTAGCATCGAAAAGAAAATAGTTGCGAAGGAAGAGGAGTCTACCAGTAATATTACTTCTTCAGATAATAACAACGCCTCTTGTGTTGCTGATCAATCTGCAGTGCCACAATTTCTGATTAGCTATAATGAGGGTCAGTGGTCACCCAACAATCCGTCAGGGAAAAAGCAGTACGACAGAGTACAACTTCTAAAATTACGTGAGGCGATAGCATCTCGTCGGCAACCTGAAGTTAAGAATGTATCAATATTACCTACGCCTAATTTGATGCCATCCTTTATTCGAAACCCAAAGCGTGTTCATTCGGTCGGTTCTTTAAGCACTAATCGCGGTGTTACTGGAAATGTATCTGGACCCGATGGTTATGGAAATAAGCAAACATCTATGTCAGGAGTACATGGACGTGGGAGCATGAAAGGTAAAAATGATAATGACAATTTTTATAACAATTTTAAAAGTTTTCGCAGATTTTGTTTTATTATTAATATAAAGAATATAATACATACTTAACTCTAATTTCTTTTAAAAGGAATGATAGTTGTGGATATTTCACTCAACCAGCATGTTAAATTAAATGAAAGTGACAATGCCTGGTGCCCTAGAATATTGGTTAAAGATGATGTCGAGGTTGATCCAGAGGCTCAATCAAAGCGTGAAAAGGAAGAACTTATACGTCGTGTCCGTGGAATATTAAATAAGCTGACACCTGAAAAGTTTGATGCTTTAGTCGAAGAAATAATCAAACTGAAAATTGATACACCTGATAAAATGGAAGATGTAATGGTTCTTGTATTTGAAAAAGCGATAGATGAACCAAATTTTTCAGTCTCGTATGCTCGTTTATGTCATCGTTTGATTTCCGAGGTAAAGAGGCGAGACGAACGAATGGAAAGTGGTACGAAGACGAACCTTGCCCAATTCCGCGCAGCATTGTTGGACAAAACTGAACGCGAATTTACATATAATGTTACGAAAAGTATTGCAAAAGAGAAGAAACTTCAGCCAATTATTGATAAAATTGCAGAATGTAACGATCCAATAGAAAAGGCTGAATTGGAGGCGCAGCTAGAAGAAGAGGAACGGAAAATTCGCCGTCGCTCAGGTGGTACAGTACGTTTCATCGGAGAACTTTTTAAAATCTCTATGCTTACCGGAAATATTATCAATTCTTGCATTGACGGTCTGTTAAATCCGAATTCGGAAGATCAGCTTGAATGTTTGTGTAAGCTTTTAACAACGGTTGGAGACAAATTTGAACAAACACCAATTAACACAAAAGAATCAACACGTTGTTATTCGTTAGAAAAGACCATGAGCCGCATGCAAGCGATAGCATCGAAAACTGAGAAAGAAGGAGCAAAAGTTAGCTCCCGTGTCCGTTTTATGTTGCAAGATGTGATTGATTTGCGTCGAGACAAATGGCAGTCGAAACGAAACGAAGCACCTAAGACAATGGGGCAGGTAGAGAAAGAAATGAAAACTGAACAATTATCTTCACGATATCTTAACTATGCTGGGTCGATGTCAGGCGGGGGAAGCGGCGGTTCTAATGGACCGTCTTCGTTAGGTTCAGGTGGCAAACGAGATGAACGTGTAGGTGGTGGTAGATTCAACGAAACACGGTCCGGGTACGGAGGCAGTCATAGTCAACGAGGAGATACTGGCAACATGAGACGTCAGCAACCAATTGGTGGAAATAGTGGCAATAATAGTGCAAGCGGCATGCATTTTAATTCTAATGGCGACGACAGCACATGGCACGTTCAAACCAGTAAAGGAGGAAGTCGTGTTTTGGATCCTCTGAAACTGGAGGGTTTGGTTAGTATGCTTCTTCTATAACACTTTGGTGAACCTTGTATTTAAACATATTGATTGCAGTCAACCGCCAATAATTTTGATAACAAAAAAATGGGCGGTGTAGGTCTTTTTGTTTGGTCAAATGGCTCAAGGCAATCTTCAACACCTTCATCCACACCTACGAATTCGTTTGCAGCTTTATCTACACTTAATGATACTAGTAGAAGTAATGATAGAGATCGAAGTGGACCACGTAATAAAGGTTCCTACAACAAAGGATCTATAGAACGTGACCGTTATGGTAGTATCATTTATTATAAGCAATATGTATATATATATATAAAGTATTAAAATTCTTTGGCGTGTAGGAATGCTCCCACGATCTGGTTCCTCGCAAACGTCGCGAGAGAGTTCATCGTCACGAGGCCCACAACAAACACGCTCAGCCTTGACTACGACGGCAATACCGAAGACATCAAGCCATACTAAATACACACAACAGCAAATGTCATCCAACAGGATTTCAACTAAGGTATAATCAATTGTTTGCAGAAATACAAATATAGAAGAAAGTCGTGATAGATATTAATAGCTTTATTTTTTGTTTTAGCTTTCAGGTACGGGATCATCTTTATATCCTCAACGCGGAATTGATTCGTATTCCCATTCAAATCTGCAAACGGATAGTAGTAGTAGCAGTGGAAAACTTATTGAGCCACCGGCGGCTGTGTTTGAAAAGCTCAACGACGAAGATATTCTAGTCATAAAATCGGTTGTTTCAGATATGGTAGACATAGGATCGAGTAATAAAACACTAAGAAATTCAGTAGAATCCTGTATTCTGCGAGTAAGAGAGAATCAGCGCTGTGCTCTCTTGTCTTACATAATGACAGATTATTTGCATTTGCGACATATAGGAAAACTGCAAAGACGATATTTAGGCAATGTAGTCGTATATTTAATTCACAGCAATTTTATATCTGTTAAACATTTTAAATTAGCTTACAAGCACTTTTGCGAAATAGCCAGTGACTTATCGGTTGATATTCCTAACCTCTGGGAGTATATCATTCAATTCACAGGTAATTATGTATGAGTTAACACCTATTACAAATATAACTTTTATTTTATTTTTAATTTTATAGGGCCATTAATCAGCAGAAAGCATATATCAATATCTGATTTGTGGAACAAACAATTAAAAGAAATCTCAAGTGATGACTCACGCTTTGGAAAAAAGTTTTCAAAAACATATTTAGATTATTGCTTGAGTCAAATCGGTCCTAGTTTCACGCGATCAATGTGGAAGAAATCAAACTGCAAATGGACAGATTTCATGCCTGATGGTGACGTCCACAGTTTTATACAAACAAATGTGAGTAATTTAATTGTTACCAATTTATAACTCAACAATTTGGTTTATATTGTCATACAGAAATTTGAATACATTGAGAACGATAAACTACAGCCTTCAATAGTAATAAACGGGTCTAAAGAGGACCATATAGCCGCAGTTGCAGAAAGCGTCGAACATTTACTAAATGAGGAAGCACCGGCAGATTGTATAATAGATTACATTAACGTAAGCAATTTTTTGAGCTGCCTAATCATAAAAAATCATAAATTATATATATATTTTTTTAGGGAAACATTGTTGATATTGATAAACAGTTTATCAGAAGTTTGGCAACTAAGTTATGTGATTTTGCGATTTCATACCGGGAAAATAGTTACAAATTGGATGTGAACTGCTTCCAAAAGGTTTGCATTCCTGTTTTACACCGGTATATTGACTCAAAAGAAGGATTTGAATTGGAATGCTTGTACGCCATGCAGCTATTGGTAGCACGGTTGGAACACCCCAGAGGTAGAATCCGCTTGTTGTTTCAACTCTTCACTACATAATATATTCTTTTTGTAGGTCTGCTCAGTGACCTCTTCGGGGAACTATACGATGCTGATGTAATACCGCAAGATTCATTTATTAAATGGCGAGACTCGAAAGATCAATCAGCTGGCAAAGGTATACTCCTTTAAAAGTATTTTTTACAAGCCCGCAAGCTAATTTTAAATTCTTTAGGTGTTGCATGCAAAGGACTTAATCCATTTTTTACTCATATACTTAGCAGTGAGACCAGCGACGAAAATAATTAACGAATCAACAAATTCACGTATACAGAAGCCTTTCGATGAAGACGTATGTTTAATGTGTATACAATTGGGTCGCATTTAAGCTATTGTAAAACCATTAGCACATACTATTCTATGTAAATACGTGAAGTAATCTAAAAAAAAACGATAAATGATATACATATATTTTGCACCGTTAAGTAAAAAATTTCAAAGTTTGAGTGAAAATAACTTAACCTCTCACCTATTTTAAAATAAAACGAATGGAACACGGAAGTTTATATACAATATGGAAATAGTGTTATAAGCTTATCTTATATAATTATTATGGATTCAAATTAAGAAAACCACAATATATTAAATTGTAAGAAAATGAAGTTATTGATAGTAGTGAAGCGTATATTTCAAACGAATCATGCTAAGAACTAAATCATCTTTGAAGCTTATACTGGCGTTCAAGATAAATCTCTAAGAGATTAATCATGTAAAATATAATAATTAAGCTTATTGTAAACAAGTTTTTAAATAAATATATATAAATCATTAACTGAATGAAAAAATGAATTTAAATTGTTAAGGGGGGGTCCACCCCACTTTTTTTTTTTCTTTGTTTTGGACAAAGTTGTTTTTTTTTTATGATTCAGCATTGAAAAATACGCACGACTCCAAATTTCACTTTTATACGATTATTTTTAATCGTTATTTTTATATTATTCTTTTCCATCCACAGATCAACAAGATGGCAATCGAATATAACACTTGTAGTATAATATAATTATCATGTATAGTTCTATCAACCAATCAGTTATCCCCGCCAAGTCGGATTCCTATTTCTATAATCAAATAATTTGGGTCGTGTATATAAGGTCAATCTAAGGCAGATTGAGTGTTTTATCTGCCACTGTAGTTGGTAAATGTCACTGGACCATTGTCAATTCAAAATATACGTAAAGTAAATGAGCAACAGTATCTAACGTTTAAAGGTGCATGCCTTGCACTGGCTTGCTAGAAAGTGACAATCATTGGGGCAGTATGATAACTGAAGCAGCATTAAACTGCACAGGAACACATTCGTCTACTATTTGCTATAGTTTTGATCACATTAATTCGATGACTTATGTTATACTGTATCGACATCGTACAATGCGCAACGATTTAAAGATATTGTGACAGTGACGAATGTACAATGAAGTATTGAATGATTAAGAGAATAATTGCATTGTCATTGCGAATTTACCAATCAGTTAGGTATGAGTTCACCAAAATCTAAGAGCATCTAACTTAGAAATGAATGGGAATCAACGTATATACGAGTATTTTTCTTCTATTTTACTTCGCTTTGTACTCTGAAAAATTGGTTGATAGACCTCTAAGAAAGGTTCTCCAGGTATGAGCTCTTAATTGAAGCTTATCACGGTAGGTATGAAAATCGGCCAACAGTTATTTTTCGTACCCCTAAATGTTAAGTGTGGTCCTCCTAAATATTACGGATTTTTCGAATAAATTTTCTCGGTTTTATTTTTTCACGATTCAGCATTGAAAAATACATACCATTCCAAATTTCATACCTATAAGACCAACCACTGATTTTTATCGAATATAATAATTGTACTATAATTTTCATGTAGTATAGTTCTGTCAGCCGATCAGTTATCCCCGTCAGGTGTCTCCTGCTGTCACTTTTCCATTGGGTCAATCGAAAAAATGGATGCCCCGGTTTATTCAAATCAAATAATTTGGGTCGTGTATATAAGTTATCAAGTGTGGTATCAAAATGTCCCACGTTAGATGCAAATCGTTCGCAGGCTACGCCTTCAGATTCAGTCACAATTTCAAATAAGTATTACAAGAACAACTTGTAGCTTGTATAGTAGGTGCACTACACTTCTGCGTTTATTGAGTCTGATTAGAACTTATTTACATTACAAAATTAACTTAAAGCTAAACCTAAAAGTTGAAGCCATAAGCTACAAAGCTACAGCCGGCAAGCCGACTCAGCATAAGCGATAACGTAGATATTTGCAGAATAATCAAATATCAGGTTACCGCAGCTGACCTAGTAATCAGGCCACGGAACTCATGCTTCAGCGAGCAAATGGGTAAAGGTAACTACAGTTTCTTAATTCTTATGTGTTAACTTATACAGTCAATCCAGGGCAGACTGAGTGCTTTTTTCTGCGACAGTTGTTAGTTAATGTCACCAGCCCATTAACATTTCAAGATATAGGTACAGTAAATGGGCAACAGTATGCCCCTTATGCCCTAAGCTTGCTAGAATATGACAATCAGTGGGATAATATTGCTGAAGCAGAATTATACTGCACAGGAACACAAATTCGTCTACTATTTGATATAGTACCGATGACATGTTTCTCGGCCCGATCACAAAGATTCGATGACTGATTATATATTGTATCGATATCGTACATGGTGCAATGATCTAACGATGAAGCATTGATTTCTATTGAGGATCATTGCATTGTCATTGCGTATTTACTAATCAGTCATTTCGGTATGAGCTCACCAAATCGAAGTGAATTAATCTGAATTAATCAGATATAAATGGTGAAATGAAGTATGATACTGCCGAATTCTTCCACTACTAAATAATGAACAAAAAAAACAATTTACGACCGCATTACGCTGGCAATTTTGGCAGGACAAGAGGTTCTGTATTTTTTTATGCACTGCGTGGAACTGGCAAAACATTCCTTATTTCGCTATTTCTTGCTGATATACGATCACAAAATGGCATCGTAATGGCCGTTGCATCATCTGGCATTGCAGCAACTTTATGAGATGGAGGGTTCAACATATGGCCACAGTGTTGAAACAGCAACAAAACAACGCTTGTTTAAAATAGTTGCGACTGTGGCGTAATGTTAAAATATCTATTTGCCGAAAGTTTCTAAAAAAAAATTGTTAGATATTGACAATGGAAACTGGCTGTATATGAAAATACTGTATGCATAAAATTACCTACGGATTTCTGCACAATTATCAATTCACAAAATACTCTCATCTAATATAGTTTTAATAATATATATATTATATATTTCCGATGTACACACAAAATATTAGATTTGCTGGCAGCAAAAAATGTGGAGGCCAATGGATTAAATTTAAAGATAAAACAGTTGTTGCCAGGGGACTTGGTGTCATAAAAATCGCTCGATGCTGTTTGCGATGCCAACGAATCTGTGAATTATCCAATTGAGTTTTTGAATTAATTGGATACGCCGGGTATGCCAGCTCATAATTTACAACTTTTCGTTGGATCTCCGGTTATTTGGCCTCGTGATTTGAACCCTCCACGGCTTTGCAATAGCACAAGATTAGTTACTAAAAAATTAAAGAGAAACATTAACGAAGCCACCATTTTGAATGGTAAGTTTCGAGGCGAAAATGTATTGCTGCCTGGGATCAGTATGATTCATACAGATGTGCCAATTGAATTTAAATGCACTCAGTTTTCAAATATGTAGATTGACTTTCGCAATGAGAGATTAATCTTAGTTAATTTATAATTAATATAATTAGTAGTAGAAATATGAACTATTTTCGATGTGCATATAGGTAACTATCAATAATTGGAATTCAATATAATATATATTTAATCTTCATTCCTCTTTTTTAAATTATAATTACATCCCCCACAAACTTATAGTGTTAGTTATTTTTAAAAATATTTCCTAAAAATAAAGTATATGGCAAAACAATGTTTGCCGGGTTAGTTTGTTGAAGTATTAAATTTTAAAGAATTAAAACAAAATAGTCAAAGTTGAACTGTTAATATCTTTTAAAAGGTTAGGTGTAGAAAAAATAGAGCATTAAATTTCCTACAAAATCTATGAAACGAGATATTTTTTCAAGTCGTTTTTTTGAACGCACTGTATCATGTTGATAATTCATTGGTGTCGTCTGAATCGTATTCAGATAAAACAAAAGAAAACGTTAACTTCGGTTACACCGAAGCTAAAATACCCTTCACAAATACTTATGTATATGAATATGCATATGGCTGTTATATGCGATAGTTATCCGAACTAAACAATTTCTTCGGAGAATGTATAATATAATTGCCTTTGGTAAATTTCGTGAAGATATCTCGTCAAATAATAAAGTTTTCCATGAAAGCACTTGATTCCGACAGCTATTGCTTTATAGGCTTAGGCAATATCCCATGTTGAATTTCGTGCAGATATCTTGACAAATGAGAAGGATTTCCATGCAACAACGTGATTCCGATCGTCCAGTTTGTATGACAGCTATATGCTATAGTAATTCGATCGGAATAATTTCTCGGGTATTGCATTATTGGCTTAGGAAATATCCCATGTCGAATTTCGTGAAGATATCTTGTCAAAT